TCTCAAAGGCCAATCACTAAACACGTACTGAGTGCTGACTACTTACTATACCGAGCAAAAAACATGCCACATCTCTGGCACTTGGTTCTTGCTCCTTTTCATTCTTTTTTGCTATGCTTCAGGGAAGAGGAGTGTGGGCGCAGGGGCAGCTGACAGCACTTGTGTATGGGGCCTTCCCTCGGAGGTAAGGGAAAGCTAGAGAAACCATCTCCCAGTTTCCAGTCCTTTCTCAAAGCTGTTTCTGAATTTCTTCCCGCCTCTTCCTCCTCCTTCTCTCTCTCTCTCTCTCTCTCTCTCTCTCTCTCTCTCTCTCTCTCTCGCTTAGACCTTGCTTTTTTTATTCTACAACTATTTTATTCTACAACTATTTTATTCTACAACTATTTACAGCTATTTTGTTATTCTACAACATAATCTAACATGATTCCAAAATTATCTCTTGGTATTTGTATGGTATAATTTTTTTAAACCTCTTTTTTAAAAATGTCCTCTTTTGACACAAACCTTCACATAAGACAAAATATGCACTTGAGTCATAGAGACCTGTTGTACATATATTATACTCCGCTGAATATTTGCAAGTGGCTTTTGTCCTAAGGTAGCCCAATTCTGCACTGTGGGGAATGTCATTCAGATTGATGGGCCAAAATCAGAGTCAGAGTTGTAGCTGTGCTTTTTTGCCCGCCTCTCCTTGTTTTCCTAGCTGCTTCTGCCCATCACCTGGACTTCCTTCCAAACAACTCACATTGCTCAAATCAATTAACTGCTTATTTCATAACATTGTGTCAGCCTCCAGTGCTTAAAACCAATACAGCCAACTTACATAGCCACAACCCACATATAACAGGCTTGTGTTCGTCCGCTCTACCAATCTGGGCACTGGTTACACACCTGCAGCCTGGGACTGTGTGTTCTTTTATACCTGGATGTTTTCTAGAATTGATTCCAAGTCTTATGTTGCTCTGTCTTCTTTTTTCTGGATAAAGGGAGATATCGAGATGAAAGCTCTGTGGAAAGAACCACAGCTTCTGGGCCCACGTTAAGGATCTAGAGAATAACTTTTCTGAGAAGGTGAGTGTTGGAATATCTGTTGCACCAGAAGCTCCAAAGATCATGTAGACCAAGCATGTCAAACTCAAAGGCTAACATAGGCCAAATAAATGAGGTATGTGGCCTGTGGCCCATGGGCCACAAGTTTGACATGCTTGATGTAGACCATTGGTGAAGAGTCGGACATAAGTTTATGGTAAATACAAAAATAGTTAGCTGAAAAGAAAATTAATCATGCTGGGTGGGGAACCAAGTTCTGTAGGAGAGAAGGTGGTTATTTTTACCATGTGATTCAACTGAGTAGAGTGTTGACAAAGTCATAAAAATAAAAACACAAAATACTATGGAAACAATCAAACTTTAAGACAAATATTTTTGAATGATGGTCATTTGAGAAAGGTATTCATTCACATATCATGAGCTTATGAGAATAAGACATCAAAAAATCAATAAAGAATGCCCTAAAATTGGGTGGGGGGAGGAGGGGGAAATCTGGTAACATAAAAAAAAAATAGAAATATAAGCATACTATTCAGAGAAGAAGAGAAATAAAACAATCAGAAGAAGTGAAATGTGTTGTTTTGATGGAGGGAAATAGGAAAGACATGGAACAATTTTTTGTAGGAAATCCCACAGAGCATTCTGACTCTGAACTGCACCCACTTATAAAATGCACTGAGTGCTGCATCAAGAAGTTACTGGTTTGCATTGCTCTGCATTTAACGCTTCCTGTTAATGTTATTCTGTAGAAATCCTTGCCTAATATTCTTTGGTGACAAATAAAACTAATGATCATGGGGTACTGCATTTTATTCATTCAAACAACATAAGACAGTGTAGTATGTTGAGGTAAGCATTTGCATGCAAAATCCCAAAGCCTGAAATTACCCATAAATCTGGAAAAATGTCCTAAAAAAGGATAACTATATAACATCATTCAAACATGGAAAATAGGTAATAAGTAGGAAATATTGCAGACATTTATCAGCCATACTCTTGATTTAGATATTTGCTTACACCTTACAACAGAGTTAGTACTTTAAACTGGGAAAAACATAATATGTAAACCAACCTTGAACACTTATAAAATTTCCTGAGCAAGCTCTGCAGTTATTCTAGAAGTTCCAGGTCTGCCTGTGACTATCTACCACTAGCAATAGAAAAGTAGGGTTATTTTTAAACTTTTTTTTATTTTTTAGATAAATGTATGAAAGCCTAAAGACTTGGCTTAGGATAATTCCAATGAACAAACCAATGAAAAAATATACTAACTTATAAATGTAAAGGTCAACACTTTCTAGACACTACTTCTAACTACTTCTAATAATGGCCAAACTAATGATGATCCTATCCAATAAAAGAGTAATATGCAAAATATGCACAAGATGGCTGCCCCCATGTGGTCAAAGATGGCTGCCCCCATGTGGACACAAGATGGCCCCACAAGATGCTGGCAGGAGAGGGAAGTTTGGGGGTACCGGGCCAGCAGTTTAGAGGAGCCAGACCAGCAGGGAGAGCAGTTAGGGGCAACTAGGCCGGCAGGGGAGGTCAGTTAGTGGTGACTGGGCCAGCAGGAAAGAGCAGTTGGGAAGGACCAGGCCTGCAGGGGAGAGCAGTTAGGGACAATCAGGCTGGCAGGAAAAGGTAATTAGGGGTGACCAGGCTGGCAGGGGAGGGAAGTTAGGGGTGACCAGGGCAGTAGGGGAGGGCAGTTAGGGGCAATTGGGCCAGCAGGGGAGCAGTGAGGCATCGATCAGGCTTGCAGGCAGAAGCATTTAGGGGAAATCAGGCAGGCAGGCAGGCAAGTGGTTGGGAGCCAGCAGTCCTGGATTGTGAGAGGGATGTCTGACTGCCCATTTAGGTCCAATCCCATGGGCAATTGGACATCTCTTAAGGGGTCCAAGATTGGAGAGGGTGCAGGCTGGATTGAGGGACGCACACCCCGCATGCACAAATTTTGTGCACTGGGCCTCTAGTAATGAAATAATGATGTTACATGTTTATATCATTTTATATTTTTCAAAGATATTTTCTTATCACTTTTGTGGAAAGAAGCTAAACTTCATGTTCATAATTTAACATCTTCACCTATACTTTATAAGCATCTTAATTCTATAATCTTTAATTAAGCAGTACACATTGTGCCCAGCCAGTATGGCTCAATAGTTGAGGGTCGACCTATGAGCCAGCAAGTCAAGATTTGATTCCAAGTCATGGCGCATGCCCAGGATTGCAGGCTCCATCCCCAGTGTGGGGTGTAAAGGAGGCAGTAAATCTATGATTCTCTCTCATCATTGTTGTTTCTAACTCTCTTTCCCTTTCCCTTTCTCTCTGAAATCAATAAAAATATATTTAAAAAAAATAAGAATACAGCACATTGTGATAAATCAGGAGACATATGGTGATTACAGAGCTTCCTAATTACAATGTGGACTCTACCTAATGCAGCTCTAGGTTTTTCTTTAATACAGTGCTAGATAAACAACATAATAACTATACTGCTAAAATTATTTTTAGTTTACTATCTTGTAAGTTGACATGTTTTAAACGTATATGTTTTTTACTAATAGACTGAATTACTTAAAATATTCTATGACTCTAATAGTAATTAACTAAAAATGAGAGCCCCATCCACCTGTCTCTCACCCATAAGCATGATGACAAGTTAAGGACATTTCTATGCCATTTGCTCAGCACGCATAGAGGCCTTTCAATGATGTTTCACGGTCACTCTGATGGCAATATAATCAACACCGAATCATGGTAGGTTAATTAGATGCATCCTTTCCCTGACAAACCTATGCATTCTATAACAACATTTAATAAACCTCTCATCAAACAGCAATTTCCTTTAATTGGTTACTTTATTTTTTTTTAAATATATTTTATTGATTTTTGTACAGAGAGGAAGGGAGAGAGATAGAGAGCCAGAAACATCGATGAGAGAGAGTCATCGATCAGCTGCCTCTTGCACACCCCCTACTGGGGATATGCCCGCAACCAAGGTACATGCCCTTGACCGGAATCGAACCCGGGACCCTTCAGTCCCCAAGCCGACGCTCTATCCATTGAGCCAAACCGGTCCTGGCTAATTGGTTACTTTAATGTAAATATTAAAATAGTGGCATTCAAAGAAAATAGATTTTTATTTAATGTATTATATATCAATATAAATTATATATGTAAAGAAGAATCTTAGGAAGCATCTTGCTTCCTAAGTAGCACCTTGCAAAAAAGATTTAAAATATAATTTAATTCAATTCTGACCTTTTATTTGTGTTTTTATCTCTTTCCTTAATAACAACAAGAATAGCAGGTACAACAAATTGTGTGTGTGTGTGTGTGTGTGTGTGTGTGTGTGTTTGTACACTCAGACAATATATATGTACATATGTGTGTGTGTGTGTTTGTAACATATGGCAGTATTTTAAAACTCTAGCAAACTATGTATAACATGAAAAAAATACAATGAAAGTGCTTTGTTAAGATGTTCAGGGAAGTGGGAGGAATGAACGGAATTTCACCAGATAACAGCTGAGAGTGAAATAGAATAGTAGGAAGGTCAGAGAAATGTCCGCAGGACTGAGGAGAGTTCAAAATTCCTGAAAAAAATCCTGAACTCTATCATATAAATAAACTCTCTACCAAACAAAAACAAAGATTATTAATTTTCCAAGAAAATTGTGGACAGCCATCTTGGAAGCACAAGAGTAAAGCTTAAATGAGTTAAGCCAACACCAGTGAAGTGAATCCAATGCCATGGAAGGGGATCCAGAAGCTGGTGTGTGCCCACAGTTGATTTCAGACATGACATTTTAAGTCTTAGTCAATAACCTTTGTCTGAAGCTTGACCTCCCTGGATGGCTCCATTACATGAGTCAGTAAATTGTCTTTCATGTCTAAGCTAATTAGGGTCGGGTTGACTGAAACATTTCTGTTAAGAATGTTCTCTAGGTGATGTAGATCACCAACACCAGGGAGAATAGAGCAGGTAGATCCAGTGGTTTCATGTCCAGGCCAGCAGCAGTTGAGGCACCAGCCTTGCACTGTAGCTTGGAGGCAAGGCAGACAGACACTTCTGTGCCCTGAGCACAGTCCTGGGAGGAGGAAGCAGAAGAGGCTCTGATGGCTTCCAGGCCATCACAGCTGCCCCTGCAGGTAAGAGGTGATGAGATCCATAGATAGGAAATTGTCTTTAACAATTTGTCATATTCTGTTTTGTTAATACACCCCAAATTGTGCATGTATCTTATATCTGTTTTTAGAAATTGGTACATTGGCTTCTATTGCTTATTAGGTGAGGATTTTATATGTAAATGTAGCACTGAGAATCCTTTTCCCATTGTTTTGTTGGGGAATTAAATAGGTTGATGTTTGGATTGAAAAAAGTAAAATATATTCAGTCAACTGGCATCCACAGTAGACAGTGAATAGTGGGGAGAAACTGTATAATGATCTATGGATTTAACAGTCATCATAAATTTGTTCAGATCAAGGAAAACGCTTAGGCTCTAGTCTTCGGTCTCCGAGAGAAGGTTGGGTAGTTGACATAAATGTCCTCTCCTGCACCATCTGATGGTTGGTTGACGGAGAAGGAACTTCTGTAGTTGTTGGATGCCTAGAAAGACAGGCAGCCAGGGTGTCAATAATTCACTGTATTTCAGCAGCTAACAAAGACAACAAAAACAAATATCTTCTCCATTCAACTACAATAGAGGTCAATTTTCTATTACAATTATCAGTAATTTCATAAAACATCCTCTTTATTATATTGAACTTCTGTGAGAATTCATATTCTTGACTTGCAGGGACCTGAGTAAGATGCAATAGAGGCCTAGTCTACATCATTCCTTGCTACACTGGGTTTATGAAACACCTCTTTAGATGCAAAACTCTCTTTCCCAATGTCCAGGGTTTTGATGAGAACAATTCTCATTTTTATATGGAAAGTCTAGTATAGTATTTTCCCATTGTGGGACCCATTAATTAATTTCTATTGAATGAATGTCATCAGAGGCAATACTTTTTTTTAAATTTATCTTTATTGTTGAAAGTATTGCAGATGTCCCCTTATTCTCCTTATTGATCTCCTTCCTCCCCCCACTCCTACCCTCACCCAGGCCTTTAGCACACTGTTGTCTGTATCTATGGGTTATGCTTATATGCATTTGGGTTCTTTGGTTAATCTCTTACCAAGCCTCCCTACCCCTTTACCTCTGAGATTCATCAATCTATTCTATGCTTCTATGTTTTAAAGGATAATACATGGTGTCCTGGCTTAGAAACAAACAACTGAACACAATAAATTAATGAAATAAACTAATATTAACTTTCAAAATAATATTATGTTATCATTTGAGTGTCTTTGGTGTTTTCAAGGAGAAAGCATGTTCAAGTGTCATTGTTACTTATATAGCCTGTTGATTAAAAAAAATAAATAAAATAAAATAAAATAAAATAAAGTCAAGTCTAACTTCATCTTAATATCAGCTTAAAATCTAACTTTATAATCACCATTCAAAATACTATTATTCCATAAAAACCTTAAAAAGCTGAATACATAATGTAGGAAGTTGCAAAGCTCCTTCCTGCCTCAAAAGTTCACAGCAACAATTGTGGCTTTGTTTTGGCTTGAGTGGGCAACAGCTAAGGACAAAGAACAAATGCAAAAATTGTATAAAACAGACCACTGTGCAGGAGTGGCAGGTAAAACAAGACAAGACTTCTTGAGTCTTTGTGGTTGGTGCCAAAAAAGTAAGCCAGGAATTATTAAAAAATAAATAAATAAATAAATAAATAAATAAATAAAATAAAAAGAGTATTTTTTGCAAATAGTAACTACTTAATTGAAGAAAAATTTAAACTGATAGATTATTGAGAAGTCTTAAGCACACATATTGAATTGTCAGAAACATTTTAGTACTTGGCCTTTTGACTGGGTAGAATTTAATGATAAGTAATTAAGTCGAAGAGAAATGGATGTAATTAAACTTGGGGAAATGTTTTATTGTAAAATTTCCTAGACAGAATAATATGTGTTAAAGAGAATATTTGATTCATTGTGGAGACATGAGCATCCCTCTTATCTGCAAACACAGATGGAATTTTCTACTCTTTCCAGTAAACAAAAGTGGCCATGTGCAAATGAGGAGGAAATGGTTACACTTCATCAGACACCTGCAGCCCCTTGGAAGGCTCTTTAGCTTTATAATCTGAACATCCATTAATTAATCAATTAAGCAAAAGGTCAGGCCATTTATGTAGTTTAATTTAATCCTCACAATAACTTTATGGCATAAAAACATAATTGTACTGGGTCAGATAGTGCCCCCCCCCCCTATTTTATGTTCTTCCAAGACCTTCATGATGTGACCTTATGTGAAAATAGGTTTGTTATAGAAACACAGACACAGGGAAGAATGCCATGTGAAGACAGTGGAGTGACGGGGCCACAACCCACAGAATGCCAAGGAGTGCTAGAAGCCAGCGGAAACTAGGAGAGAAGCATGGAACAGATTCTCACCCCAAGGAGGAACTGATCCTACTGGGACCTTGATTTTGGACTTCAACCTTAGAACTGCAAGAGAATGGGTTTCTGTTGTTCTAAATCACCCACTTTGTGGGAATTTGGTTGTGGGAGCCCTCGGAAACCAATACAGATTTTGGAAATATGCAGTGTTGATTATTATGTTGGTGTGATTGCTCTTTTATCAATATCAATGTAAAATTGTTTTTGAAGGGTATTAAAAATAGGAGAATAGTTCCGGAAATAACTATTTCATCAAATAACTGACACTTAAATTACAGGCAATACGTGGCCAGTTTGTTGAAATAAGAATAAAGAAGAAGATTGCTAATTGCAAAATGAACTGAGTTTACAAAACTTTTATGATGCTCAAGAAAAGAGGCAGGAATGACAACTCTGAGAAAACTTACCTTATTCTGTGTGGCCTGGGATTCTTTATCTTGGATCCTTTTCTGTCTGCATCTCTTCCTGGAAATACATATTCAATAGAGGTATTAAGAATTACACTCCAGACTAATGTTATTTCAAATCCTCTATGTGCCTCGCCTGAGCCCTAACTTACATGCCCTTACTAAATATGTTGAAGTAGCTACCCACAGATACTTTATATATACTTATTCAAATGTGTGTTTTTTCATTTTCCCACCTTCTCCAATGTGTTTCCAGATGGTAGAAGCAACTAAATGAATATCCAGCCGGTGGGCACTAGTCATTAATCCCAGTGAGTTTAGTAAAGAGTGGTTCATAGTGGGTTATTATATAAAAAGCTTATGGCCTTTTCCAAATTATTTCAGATTTGATTTCCCACAATTAAAACTTCATTTTAATTGCTAATGTAATAATTTCTTGAATGTCAATGATAATAGAATTAAGCTTTATAAAATAGTGTTTTCTAAACCACCTGTATAGGTTACATTTTTTAAAATTTTGTTTTTTATAAAAACCTCTCTTATTTACCAGGTTGGGGGACTGAGGCAACGAGAAGACTAACTTGCCTTAGATCACATGGTTGGTTATTGGTAGCATCAGATTAGAGCCCTCCCTCCTAACTATTATGTTCTTCTGCTCTAGGGCCATGGGTTGCAGTCCGGAGCTATGTTTTCAAATAAATTCTCCAGGTTCCAATTAAACCTATAAAAACCTAACTTCAAGAGAAATCTTTGAAAAGAAAATTCAGGAAAAGAAGAAACTACTGTAATTGAACACATTAGCTCAGATAACTACATACAAGTGTGAAGAATGGTTTCACGGGGAGATGAGAACCATTTTCATCTCCCTAAAGAAAATTTTTATTGAACAACAAAGAAGATTGGCTGGGGGTGAGGGGAGAGAATGTAGAGTTGTTTTTTTGTTTGTTTGTTTGTTTTGTTTGTTTGTTTGTTTTTTTAAGATGAGTTTAGCATTCCTTCATGGAATTGTGAAAAACGGGCAAGATAGTTTCTCTCCCAGGAAAGGTGTTCAGATGGAGGATGTTTACCCTGATGGTGTCTTCTAGTCGCTATGAAATCCTCCAGCATCTCAACCTAATCACAAACGTACCTATTCTATGTGCTTTTACTTATTTGCTTATGTATTCCTGAAACAATTTATTTACTTATTTTGCATGTAAGTGTACTACATGCAAACATGTTTCTAGGTGCTTTGTGTAAATTATTTGCTGCTTAAAAATCTATGCTGTATGTGTTACTATCTGCTTTTTGCAAATGAGGAAACTGAGACATGACCTATGATCTTTGCTCTTTTGTTACATGATGGTTTACGAGGCTTGTATATCATAATATAGAGTTAAGTGTTCCAAATAGGGCCAAATACATATACATTTTTTATGTAAAACTAGACTATACAATGTGATGAAGAGAAGACAGCATGAAGCTTAGAGTCAGATGATCTTTGCAATTTACTGGTTATTTGCATCTCTAAAGTTCAGTCCTCTCATCTGCAAAGTAAAGACAGTAAATACATTGTACTGTATTCTAGGTTGGCCAGCCATTCTGGTTTGTGGATTCTAAAGTTTCCCAGAGGTGAGAGATTTTAGTGCTGAAACCTGGAGAATCCCAGGCAGACCAGACACTCTACTTGTAGTGAACATCAACATTGATAATAAATGTGAAAATAAGTGTCTATTTTTGCTCATGAAATATTAAAATTCTTCTTATGAATAGAGTGTCCACATGTAGATTGTCATGCTTACTGGGGCTAGGCACTTCTGCCAGCCACGATCACTTGACAGTGTTACTATTCTGATCTAACTGGACCCAGAGAAAGTGCTTGGAGAGCCTCTGGACTCCTGTCCCTAGAGGCTAGGTGTGCAGGGAGAACCCTGTTTCCTCTAGGCACACTGTGATTTACTTTGCCATCTATCCAAGTCACTACATTTGAAGCGACAAGAGTGTTTTAAATAATCACATGGACAAAGTTCAGAAGGTCACTGTTTGGCCCTGGCATCATTTTTCCAAACATGTCCACAGTGATAACACATGCTGATATAGTGACAAGGTGGAAAACAAGTACTTTTCCCTTTGTGTTCACCCGATGATGAACCCAGCCCAGGAATCTTTGTATCACTTTGAACCAAGGGGGACAATATAGTCTACAGTTCAATTTAGCTATTCCTGTAAAAGTGATGCATTTTCATGAAACTCAATCCTTCATGACCAGTATCTGGGACCCTCCAGAGACCTGCTGTCACTCATTCTGTCTGGGCCCCCGAGTGTTCCTGCGACCATAGTTCTCCTCGGTGCATTTTTTTATCCACCAAGATGGAGCCATAGAGAATCCTCAATGTCACTAACATCCCATCCTGGGCTCCTTACCCCAACTACTGTTTTCTGATCAGAAAAAACTTTGAGGGCATCCGAGTGACAGAGAGAAAGGAAAAAACACAGTACTGTGTTTCAATTTAATTAGACAAATGCTTATTGACTATCCATTATTTGGAAAGATTAGCACTAACTGCTATCAAACTAAAAAAAGAATAAAACATGCTGCCATCATGAATCGAAGGAAAGACAAGTGTGAATGTGATAAATTAGTGAGCAGGCTGCGAGGTATAGCAGATGAGAAGCACGTCTCTGGGCAGGGAGGGAAAGGCAGGACAGAACTCCAAAGGGGACAGGTGTCCCACAGGATTAAGGCTAAATATTGAGGAAACAGCACTTGGTGCTTTGACAATGGAAAGAGAGCCAAGTGTGCTCGCAGAAAAGTTGCAGTTTTAACAAAATTTGTCAATACTGGGGGAGTAAGAAAAGGGGAAAATATGAATGGAAATTAGGCTGGAGTCAGAATGACAGGGCTCATTGAGTTTTATCCTTATTCTAGTGACAGGGGAATGGTAACAGGAGGTTTTAAACAGGATGTTGACATGGCCAGCCTTTGCTTTCAGGAAAGGAACCAGGAAAACCCAGGAGCATTAGAAAGAGAGGAGACCTTGTGAGCAGATTGCAGAGTGTGAATAAAATCAGGGGAATGGTGATAAGAGCTTCCAAAGAGGTGGGGGGTGGGAGGAGAGAAATGGAGATGAGACAGAGAAATCCTCTGGAAATCCAATCAATAAGCCATGCATGTGTGTGTAACATTGCCATGCATCTGTGGCAATATTCGGAAGAGAGAAGAATGGGGAATGGATGGATTCATCCGCCCAATGAACATATATAAAGTGTCCGTCTATGCTGTGCTAGACATGCCAAATGTAGACACCTAATGCTTGGTCTCTTCCTCCCTTAGGAAGGTAACCTTAGTTGGAACACAGACCCTATATGATCACAGCTAAGACCGCAACAGACACTCAGACATGTGAGTGGATGAACATGAAGAGCTAGGAAGGGAAGAAAGGGTCCACCAAGAATATCCTAGAAACTTTCAAGTGTGCCATGGATGTGAAAAGTAGGACATTAAAAGGCCGGTGGCCACCTGCTCTCTCTAAGATCGCCTCTCCCAATCTCTTTCTTTCTTGACAATTTTTAATAAGAACAACTAAATTGTTTGTTTCAGAGAATAGTCAAGCATTTAAATAATGTTGTTTGCTTATTAGAATATATACTTGAGCACATCTCATTCACCACGCCAAACGAAATAGCTGATGAATAAGTAAAGGCTTTATTACTGTTTGATCCAGTCCTTTAAACTTCCACTTCTCAAAATCTTTCTCTCTCTCTCTCTCTCTCTCTCTCTCTCTCTCTCTCTCTCTCTCTCTCTCTTTCTCTCTTCTCTCTCTCTTTCTCTCTCTTTCTCATACACACACACACACACACACACACACACACACACACACACACACCCTCACTCAACAGCTTTTTTCCTAAAGGAGAAGGAAGATGAATGGAGTAGGAGACAGAGAGGAGGCATCAGGCATATGAAAGCTTTGTTAATATGGGGCAGATGGCCAGCTCCTACTAATTTTTAAGTGAATGACTCTCCCCTTTCCCTCCTCTATTACCACAGTCCTTTCCTCTTTGTGTAAGAAAAGCATTCAGAAAAACATACTCAAGTGCTAAGACAGGTTGGCCAATGCTGAGTGATTAATTGTAGAGATCTTCAAACATCGGAATCGCTCAGGGTAAACAAGAATCGCTCAGGGTAAACAAGATTCAGAAGGAGGCGCAATGCTCACCTGATATACAGAAGGACAATGACAATGGGAACTAGGAGAACAAACACTGATGATAAAGCTGTCCCTACAATTATCCAGAAGACACGTTGGTTGTCGTTTTTACCTAGGAGAAAAAAATTATAATAGGAATTAGGAATTCAGCCAAAGCTAGCAAAAAGGAAGATAGAAAAATGAGAAGATACATCCATCATCATAGAGACACAATTGAAAACAAACAACAAATCCAAGAGGGGGAAAAAAATAGGATGAGATAAGGGGAAAAGATAAATTTCCATTCAGTCTCCTAAGTATTTTGGATTCATGACAAAATTTTGCTAGTTCCTTGATCTCTAAGATTGGATTTGACACCTTAAGAATAAGGATAGAGCTGAAACCGGTTTGGCTCAATGGATACAGCATTGGCTTGGGGACTGAAAGGTCCCAGGTTCGATTCCAGTCAAGGGCATGTACCTTGGTTGCGGGCATATCCCCAGTAGGGGGTGTGCAAGAAGCAGCTGATCGATGACTCTCTCTCATTGATATTTCTAACTCTTTATCTCTCTCCCTTCCTCTCTGTACAAAATCAATAAAAGATATATTAAAAAAAAAAAAGAATAAGGATAGAAAGAGTGTATGTCCGAGACAGATATCCCTTCATTCTAATGAGCTCCTGATAGCAAATGTAAAGTCTTTTAAGAAAAAAAAAATCAAAATAATATACAAATAAAGATTACTTAAGTATGATGTATTAAGTACATTCAACACACAATAGTACTAGAATGTAACTTTGATGTCTATACGTAGAATTTTGTTTAAAACCATTTTCTACTCAGTTGGGATTAATGGTAAAAAAATAATCAGCAAACAATGTGTTACTCCAACTCACTGCTTCCATGGAATCTGAAATTCCCACCCTGGTTCTTTCACTATCTAGTTTGAAAGGTACAAACTAGAAAGAAAGTGGGGATGGGCAGAGAGAAAGAAAGTATTAATGAGAGAGAATCGTTGATCGGCTGCTTCCTGCATATCCCCACACTGGGGATTGAGCCTGCAACCCAGGCATGAGCCCTTGACCAGAATTGAACTGTGACTTCCTGGTTCAAAGGTGGATGCTTAAACACTGAGCCACGCCAGATTGGCTCACTATCCCATTTTTTGACCTCCAGCAAATCCTTAACCTTCTCTGCATGCCTTTCTTCATCAGTCCACTGGTGACCGTGACGACACCTTTGATTAAATCACAGAATTATGGTGAGAATCGAATGAGACAATATCCAAGAGTAGTAAACTACTAGAGAGACAGCACCCCTGCAGTATGACCCCAGTGAGCTCAGAGTGTGTTTCAGCTATAAACTGCCTCCTGCCCACAACACACCTCACCCACGGCCCCCCACAGAGCTCCCTCCCGGGAGAAGAAAACCCATTTGTGCTATTGTGGGAATGGGACAGAACTGGAACCCAGGGACTGTCTTCATTGCTACCTTTTTGGGGACAGCAAACATGTGAGATGGGTATAAGCAAGGCAGAGACAGCTGCCTCTGGAAATTAGAGCCCCATGCTGGCCCTGTGATTCCTGGCTCTCTGGAATCCCACAGTAACTGGAGAAATCACACTTCTCATGGATTTTTAACCACCTGACAGATTATATCTTCCTTTCGAATTCACTGTATTTAGCTGTGATTTTTTTCATGGTAAGAGCTCAGAGTCAACACCCACTCATTCTTTTGCAGGTATTACTGCAAAGAGAATCTAAGTTAAATAATGAACACTACTTTTACACTTTAAATTCATTTAAACTATTAGGTGAATAAAAGTATATAAACTTGTCCAAATTTGATGGGAAAGGAATTTATTCAGAGCAAAAACACATTATTCCAACTACAAAAAGAACAATTAATCTTTCTCCCCATGAAATAAGAAATTAACTTTTTGAAGTTCTTGGCACATTATGAAAATAAACAAAATACCTGAAATTATTTTACATTATAACCCAGGACTATAAAAGTACTTGCTGTACTGAAATATTTTGATTATAACATGTGTTAAGGTAAAATCAAGCAGGCAATCATAGCAAGAAAATAAGAGTTGTTATCAATAAATTCATTGACAGTATTCTGGGAGAATTAACTACATTTTAAAAATGCTATTTAGATAGTCATTACAGTAAAAAAAAAAAAAAAAAAAAAAAAAAAAGATCTGGGTGAATTAGAGATCTTTCTGGGAGCCACCCAGAAAGTAGATACTAGAAGAAAATGTAAATAAATTATTGAATGAGAAATGACTTTCCCATTTATAAAAATAAATAAATATACAGGATTGAGGCAATCAAAATGAAAAATAACTGAAGATCAAAGTATTACAAATGAAATGTAAAGATAAACGTAATATTACTAGGTTGCTTTATCATATCCTTGCTACTGAGAAAAAGGTACATAAGACAATATGAGAGAAATAAGTTATTAGCAAAAAGCTCTTAAAGTGTAAGTTGGTAAAAAAGGAAGCCTGTGGTGAGATTGCCCATCGCAAGTTCTTTGAGAAGCAAAAACTGTTGCAACCTGCAACAAAAAAGAAATTGATTTCTGTGTCACACCCTTTCACGTTTGATTAATTGTTTTATTCCAAAGAAAAACTCTAAACTGTATAATATTTCTAACAGCAAAAAGAAAATCCTTGTTTCCCAAGAGTAGACAAACCAGCAAGACTCTGCAGTGGGGTTGTCAACTTCATTTGCATTTGAATCACCTGGTTGCTGCGCCCCACCTCAGAGTAACCCTTTAGACCTGGGTGGCTCCCAGAATTCACAGCTCTCCAGTGAAGTCTAAGACGCCGGTATAGGCCACCCTGATATCATGGCTTTGGGCAATGGAATGCTGTGTGTAAAGAATCCCAAGGAAATGAAAAACTGCTGACTATAGATAGAAAGTTAAGTAAATTTCAAAACCAGAATTCACAATCCAACAGTTCTCAATAAGTATGGAACTTACTGGGGGGGGGAAACAGCCTGCAAGGCAACAGCATACCAAAATTTTAAAGTGATGGTCTTCAGGGAATCGAATTAAAAGCAATTGTTTCTTGAGGCTTTTTGGTATTTTCCAAACTGTCTAAATGATATATTGCTTTTATTAATCAGGGGGGAAAGAGCTCAAAAATTTAAAGGCCTGCGTGCTTAAAACAGAATAATCTGCCAAAATTTTGTGGTTATGTTTAACGTGCAGGCTGTAGAGAGGTACTTTGTAGAAGGGAACACAGAACTCTAAGAAAGAAGTTAGCATTGTTTTTATTAAGCTCTAAATTAAATGACTGAAGTAGAAACCACTAAAAAGGATGGTCATTTATTTCACAATGCCCAATCATAGATACAAGTTTTCAATGCATTCTGTATCGTGAAATATGTTACCTGTTTCCACCTCTTCTGGTAATTAATGTTTGACCTGCTGCAGTCAGATCTGTTCATTCATTCATTCATCTTTTAATACATTGCATTTCAAGGTATGTGTATTGATTAGTTCAACAGGATTTCAGATCCATGTGTTTATGATTCAAGTGATGTTTTTGTTTTGTTTTGTTTTGTTATTAGGTCTGAGAAATAACTCTCTTATTTATTTATTTACTTATTTTCTTTTGGTTTTATTCTGTGTTGGTTTCAGGTATATAGCTTGGTGGTTAGACATTCATATGTTTTACATGGTGTTCCCCTCATATTTCCAGTACCCCAACTGGCACTGTAACTGGACAACCAGTGGCTCTAGGCTGCCTGTCACCACTTGAGCCAATTAAGCAGAGGTACATATGAGCATTTATTCCAATAATGCCAGTAAGTCTTCCACAAAAATATCTGCTCTACCCCCCCCCCCTCCCCATAAGCCAGCTGCTTATATTGGGTAGAAGGACAACAATTACATAAAATTAAGAATTATAGGCCAAGGGAAGTAGGCAAAGAATAATGGTTACAGGTTAGAGGCAATGCAGGCGGAAGGGGTCACAGAGGGCGGGTGCCTCTGGGCACCTCTGGGACCAGATTGCAGATAACAGGGGCTGAGTTCCAAAGGGTGGGTGCCTCCAGGGCTAGACTGCTTCAGCCACAAGGTTGTTCTCAGGAAAAGGAGGATGGACTGCATGCTGATGATAGCTCCCGTGTCCCACGGCATACAACTCAGCCGGGTTCGAATGTGCTTTCTCTAATCAGAACAGTCACAATTGATTAAATCATTTGCCATTGGTGATTAGTTCATCCCCAGCCCCTCTCCCCTTAGGGAATTGGGCTCAATGTTCCAAACCTCTAATCGGAGGGTCTCTCCTCAGGCAACCAGCCCTGTCCTGCAGCTACCTAGGGGCCTTCAGCCACCAGTCCTTCATTAACATAAAAAAATCACTACACTCTGGAGACCAAGGATCTCCGAATCCTTTGTGTCAGGAACAGGGGACTAAGACCAAATATCATAGCAAAAGAGGCTTCTTACACACCTCCTACCCGATTCTACAGAAAATGGTAAAGGTTTAGGCGCTCTGTGAAAGGAGCAAGAGAACAAACAGAAGGAGCTCACACTGTTTTTGAAAGGTCCTGGCTGATTTAAAAACACCCATGGGAAAGGTATTTTCCCATAAGAAATAAGGGGAACAGCGTGGGGGGCAGGTAGGATTCAGTAACACTGCAGGAGACTGGGCCATTGTGAGCATCCCAGCCTCCAGCCAGTCCTGCCTTTCCCTATTTCCAGCCCTTCCTCTGCCTCCATCAGGACATAGAACCGCGTGGTGCAACCACACAGCTTGCTGGGCACAGTATGGCTAAAAACAAACGTACAAAAGAAAAGCAAACAGCACTGGGTGCTTTAGGGAGATAATTGGCAGTCCTAACATTCACTATTTCCTAACTTCGCTAATAGATCTTGGATTGAGAAACATCAGCCTAAAAGCCTCCCTCTTAAAAAAAAGAAGAATGCTTGTCTATTCTCAGCAGCCACTATTTTGCTGATGTTTTTCCTCCACTTTCTTCCAATAGTGTGTTGATTCATAGGAGGCCAAAAGTGTCATGAACCATATGGCCATTATTTTCCCTCCCATCAAAAAGGGTAAATACAGTTAAAACAAATTGTCAGTGAGATATTTCTGGTATAAATGAACAAT